GGAATGCTGTTCAGAAGCAGCCTGATGGTTCTGGTCTTCCTTTTGCTGTTGATGTACCTGTTGAAACCTTGACAGATACAATTCCAAATGAGTTTTGGCTTTCCTCACCACACCTTGCACACTTGGACAGTGTCTCTTCTCTTTCTGTGTTATCCTGCTTCCACCTCTCATATTCTTACATATTTTTTTTTCCCATTTAACTAGTTAATACATGCGAGACTCAGTCTATGTTGATCTGTGCAGGTATCCTACTACCCTTACTTGATTTCTCATGTTATGATGGACCATTCACAATCTTGGAAAAAGTTACCCTTGGAAATTAATCAGCTCTCCCATCCCCTTCTTATGCCTTCCTCTTTTCAGGATCACAAATACCACCACCATTCTCTGGGTCTAAGACTTCTCCCAGCCTTCACATTTTGACCAATTTGCATTAGTTCTGAGATCCAGCAAAGCAGCTCCCTTACTCAACTTCTTGATTGCCTGTGCCAGAAGGTTGTCAACAATGCACTCCAGAAACCTCCCGTATTGCTTGAGCTCGGCTGTGTTTTCCCTACAGCAGATATTGGGCTGGTTTCAGTTCCCCATAATGGCCAGGACTTATGAATGAGAGGTTTCTTCCAGTTGTCTGAAGAAAGTGTCATCTATTTCTTCCTCATCAGTCACCCAGTACAATACCTGAGTGGCATTTTGATCTGCCTCTTAAATGTGCCCCCTCAGCTCTCAGGTGGCTCAACAACTCAAGCCTAGGAGGGTGACAGACATAGTGGCTGCTCCCTTGCATAAAGGACAACACACCTACCCAGGATGTCCTTCCTAAAGACTCTGTATCCATCCACTGGAGCTATCCCATCATGTTTCCATTAACCCAGTGAGACTGCAGCCCTCCAATTGCACACAGACCTCTAATCCCTCCTGTTTGTTCCCCATGCTGCAAAGGTTTGGATACAGTAGTCAAAGGTACACCTACTCCTTCTGATATCCTTCTGATATCTCATATCCTTCTGAAGGATATGAGAGTTTCACATGTCACAATGTCCTCTCACTACTTATTTGTTTGCATACACATGAGGTGGCCTCCCTTCAGCCTAGTTTTGCTGATTTCAGGGTCTCTCTCACTACGTCATAATCCTAACTAGTCTAATTCCAGCTTCCAAACACTATTAGGGCCCTTTTTATCTATAAAGTCTTTCTTCACAGAAGTACTACTGAATATGAGTAACTTCTTTTTTAACAGCAGAGCAAAGTTTGAACTAAATATTGTTAAGGTATTAACTAGGACAGTTGTCAGTCTGAAATTATTCTTTTGAAATTGGGGAAAGATCCTATGCATTCCATTAGAAAATTATTTACCACAGCTGCTCATTACCATAATGGTGGTTCTTTTGCTGGGGATTATTAAAAGCAGTAATAGCTATATGTGCTTATATTTTAAAAAAAATATATTGCTGTGCTTCTTTTTGTTTTGAATTAATTCCTAAGTGCATCATTAGCATTCAGAAAGAATTGTAACAAGATAATGACTTGAAAATAACATTTCTAATGACTGCTGTTAAATTTTAAAAAATGATAGACAATAAAGACTTTTAAAACCTCCTTCATTGTATAACTTGGTGAATGTGTATGTACATATAGGCCGTTTTAGGAAAGGTCTTAGGAATGTGTGCTTTACCTGACGAGGAACAAAGCTCATTACCACTAGAGTAATCAATAACCCCTGCTAATGTGTTCAGTTGGCGACATAGACCAGATCAATAAAACCTGCCACATGGTTTTGTTTTAGGAAATGAAACCTTTTAGTTCTTTATTAAGGGAGAGACCTCACATCCTTAATGGTGTTTGTGATGACCGTTGCCACAGAGGACAAGAAAAACTGCATTTGAGGTTTGCTCTAAAAGACTTTGACAAAGAAGTAAGAGTTGATCCAAACCTGATCTAAATTTCTTAAATTTACTTTAATGCAACAAAACTTTGGAAAAAATTGTTCAAGAAGAAGGAGAAATATTCTGATGAATTACTGTGGTTATCAGAGGAAATAACACTTCCATTAGTATAACGTGTGTCTGCAATCTGGCAACAAAAGATACAGAATCAAACCGTGCTAGAGTGCTTTGTGTTGTACTGATTGTGGGTCTTTAAGGCACAGCTACTGCAAAATGTAAGTTATTATTTTTTGCTTCATCTTTGTTGTTATTATTCTTCTGTCTTCTGTATAATTCTACGGGCTGGTGCATTTTCTACAAGGCAGTTAAGCTGAGGGAAAGCTCATGTGGAGTGGAGAGCAATAATGACTGCACTGAAAACGGCTCAGCTATTTACAGCTAATAAAAGGATAAACATATGAGAGGGAATGGATTAGTTTAAATGTTTAATAAAAGTGATATTTACATAATACATGAAAGATGTGAACGGGCACGTACACAGGGGTCTTGGTGATGGTGTTATTGTCTTTTCCAATGCTGGTATGCTGGAAAACAACTCAAATCAGAGGTTTGGATAACTGCAGCTAACACTTCTATTCCCAATATAGTTTCTGTGATAGATTAGCTCCAATGAAGCCTTAAAGGTTCAAACATGGTTTAAGAGCATGGTTTAAGGGTTCAGATTTGCAAAGTATTAAATCTCCACAGAAACTGACTATAAGTTCACTTGTCTAAGAAGGTGTGGGGATATGGAATGTAATGAAAATGGAAGAAATCAAAGAGAGACTTGCTAAGTATTTTCACAGCAACCTAATGATGCAAAAGCTTATGTTGTCACTAATCCTACAAATGCAAATCTATATCTCAAATTTCACTCACATAAATGATAATTTGCAGGAGCAAGCTCAAAGATCGTCATTATTAACTGAGAAATACAAGACTCTAAAAGCATAAAGATTGACATCCCTTTCATTTGCACAGTGCAAGCCACCACTAAGAGTGCTGAAAGCAGTAATATTGTAGCAGTTTAAAAACAAGAAATTAAATTTAGGCTAGGTGTGCATTCAGGGAACAGTGTGACAAGGAGGAGATCAGGATATGTAAAGAAGTAAAGAAGTTATATTTCATGCATTTGCTAAAAGTTTTTTTAAACATATGTAACAGTTGTTTGGGAACAACACTTCCATCATGAATGCAAAATCTGGCATATTTAAGGCCTGGATTTTCTTCAAAAAATGGTTGGGGTTTATTTTGTTTTGTTTTGTAGTGGACTTTGGTGTGTGGGGTTTTTGGGGGGTTGAGTTTGGGTTGGGGTGTTTTTTAAGTTTAGGTTTTGGGGTTTATTTGGTTGGGTTTTTGCTTTCCTAGGATGTTTTTGGCATTGGGGCTGGAGCAATTTTGGTTGAATAAAAACAAACAACCAAGCTAGTATTTTATCTTTTAAAGCAACCTTTTTCCTTCAGTGATGAAACTAGTTTGTGGGGTTTTTTTTTGTTATTGCCATGGATTAGGAATTATACTCCTCAGTTTAGTGCCCCCACTGAGACTCTTCAAACCACGCACCACTCGCTCCCACCTCCCCTTTTTCCTTCCCCTGCAGTGGAGAAAGGAGAACTGGAGGCACAAAAGGCAAAGATCATGGAAACGGAAATGAGATAAGAAAAGGAACAATATCTGCAACAATTGTAATGAGAGAGGGTACAAGAAATAGGTCAATGATTCACATGGAAACAACACCTGGCCATTCCCTCCACCACTCTAGGCCTATATGGAAGCGAGTGCTTCCCCAGAAAATGACATGAGGTGGTATAGAATAACCTTTGGGTCCTAGCCCTTTCCCTTCTCAACTACTGCAAAAATTAGCCTTGTCCTGGCTGGAAACAGGACAGATGTGGCTTTAGTTTTTGGTTGGTTGATTTGTTTTGGTTTTGTTTGTTTTGGTTTTTTTGATTGTTTTTAGTTTGTTTTGTTTTTTAGATTTGGTATTTATTTCTAAACTTAAACAAATTATGAAGCAAAGAATTGCAACAAAAACTTAAATTTTGTGATTCCATATTTTGCAAGTACTTGTTCTGGATAATAAGATGTTCTATTGGGAGAAAACCTATGGGTACTTATTACAAAAAGAAGTATAGTGGACAGTTTAATAACCTTTCTTACCTATCTCTAGCCAGCTTCAAATGTAAACATCTAAAGTTGATTCATTGGCTTAAATGCAGGTATTGACTGCTTTTTATTTTCCCTACAATATCTGGGACATCAAAACACAGCTTGTATTTGACAGAAGACACAAGGTAAACCTCTTACCTTACTGGTTTGATATCATAAGGCATATCTACATTAGAGGTTTTTGTGTAGACAAATGAGTTGCCTCCCAAGTCAAAACTAATTTTCTTTATAGCCAGCAGGGCAAGGTAGGTGAAATGAACTGACTTCTAGAGACACGTCTTGAAGATACCTGTGTCAGGTATCATTTCAGCCCTGTGTTAGGGTTGAAATGAAACATCAGAGGAAATCAGTGATTTCCTTCTGATAGCAAAATAAGTTGCTTGATGATTTACCTAAGTCACATATTCTTTAAGAAAATGAGTTCTACCTGCTATGAAAGGAACAGAATCTCTGAACACTTTAATATGGTATTCTGTCTGAAGTTACTGAGGACCTTGCTGCTGACTTGAATGATAGCAAGGCTGGACATTTTGTTCATATGAATTAAGGAACAACTATATTGTAATTATTCGACCACACTTTCTATGTTTGAACAAGGTATTTCAAGTCTCAAAGTTCTCATATCTTTAGATGCTCATATAGTACACAACTGACAAATAGAAACCAGCCTTTTTTAGAAGGTTATACTGTATAAAATTCAAGCTAACTTTCTGAGAAATAGAGAAAATAGCTGTAAGAGGCTCTATTTCACCCAGATGAGGAAGCTTACTAAAGAAATATTATCAAAGCAATATAATATATGCCTGCCAGAAATAATAGGTACATATTGAAATTTCCACTTTTAACTTTGGGCATGCCTTCTTGAAGATTTGCATATATACATAGCTGTTGAACATTTTTTATTCCACAGATTCCGCGAAACAACTTGTAACTCAACAGAATGCGCAAGAAACAGTCAGGAAAGAGGAGGAGAGGATGCCAGAGAGACCTTCAGGATTAACATGCAGTGCTGAATATTTAATTAACCAGAGATAACAACAGGTAATTATGAAATCAAGCAAAGTTTTATTATGCATCATTTTATAATTCATACGGGTGTGTAATAAAATTACAAGCATTTGTACTTTTAAAAAACTAACCATGTGTTTAATGCAAATGCAATCATGCTAATGTGATTCACATTTTTTAAAGTGCACATAGAGAGAGCGGGTAATAATGAGAGGCTTTGTAAACATAATCACTGGGAAATACTAGACGTAGCACTACTAAAGCATGTTATTTATTGCAAAATTTGGAGGAGAGAAAAAATTGACCTATAATCAGCTCTTCATTTCCTGTTTTTAATTCTCAAGTATTTTAGGATTGCACCTTTCTTTTATTGTTCCTTTATTTGTTTGTGCTTCTGGTAGAAACACTAGGCTAGTCAGAGCTCTTCTCCACCTTGCAGAGAGACCTTGGCTGTGGAAGTTGGGAGAAGGAGTGAGTGATCAGAAGGGGTGAGCACATGTTCATACCATTTCATTTTAATTCAGCTGGTTAAATAAAAGGACATCATCTCTTCCTCTGAACTGCCTTTGGCAAACATTCTGGTGACTCCAGGGAGAACCGTAGCCTATGTGGTTAAAACTGTATTACACAGTTTATGTATAAAGTTAACACATAGAAAATGAAAGGCGATGCTGTCTAAGGTTGTTACAATAATGTCTAAACCCAGATTGTTAGTGGCTTCTGGTGAACAACAAAGTTTCCAAAATATTCACATAGGATCACAAACATGATCTTCTGGTTCATGGCAGTTGGTGGGCATAGGAAATACTCCAGACATTTTTGAAAGAGCACAAAACATCTCTGGGTAGACAACTGAATTCCACCATGAGTATCTATGTTCAGGTGAATTGAATAACTTTCCATTCCCCACTAATGATATTGAATAGAACTAGATGAATTCTGATGTATGGAGCACATCTAAATGTTGGTGTCTTAATCTCAGTGGGATCCTAACATCAATGCCTAAAGTTGAGGGATATGCCTATAATGAGACCAGCAGCTTGATCATCTGCATCAGGCAAGGCTAGCAAGATGACCTTCCTACCTTTTAAACCCTGGTGAGACACAACCTGAGTGCTGCACCCACTGCTGGACTGCTCAACACAAGGGAGACATGGACTTACTGGAGTTAGTTCAACAAAGGTAATGAAGGTCTTGGAGCATCTCTCATGCGAGGAGAGGAGCATCTCTCATATGAGGAGAGGCTGCCAGAGCTGACACTGCTTAGCTTGCAGAAGATAAATCTGAGAGGGATTGAATAAATGTGTATAAATACCTGATGAGGGAGTAAAGAAGATGAAGCCAGAGTGGTCTCAGTGCTCCCCAGTGAACAGGTTACTCAGAGAGATTTAGGAATCTTCTTCCTATGAGATATCTAAAACCCAACTGACAAGGCCCTGGGCAGCCTGCTGTAGGTGACCCTGCTCTGAGCAGGGCATTGGACTTGATCTTTAGATTTGCCTTTTCACATCAGTTCTGTGTTTCTGTTCTGATGATATGTGCAAAGAAGGAAGAGCTTTTGAAAGCAGAGCTACTTAGAAATGCCTCAGCCAGGGAAGTGGGGTTTCTAGTAACTGTAAATACAACAATGCAGACAACTAAACTGAAGTTCCTTGATTCATACTCACATGTATCCAGAAATACCTACACCATGGACACAAAGGAGCCTAATATGGTAGCCCATCTTGTAACCTGAAAAATGAAGCGAAGTCTCACTGCAAACCCTTTCCTCTCTCCAATATACAATTTTAATAGAAATGTGATTTTGATGCCTCATTGCATTGGATGTCAGTGAGAACATGGGCTTAAAATAAAGTTTCTATATAGATTTCTATGTCTCTACTCATAAGTAAAATATATGAGAGTTGTACAGAATATGTTTTTTTGAAGCTTTTCAACTACTTACCCTCAAAAAGGTATCAGGGAATTGTTAACACCAGGATTCTTCACAAAGGTTACAGAATCAGAAAATCATAGAAAAGGTAAGGTTGGAAGGGACCACAGTGGGTTACCTGGTCCAACCTCCCTGCTCAAGCAGGGACATCCTTGAGTACATTGCACAGGATTGCATCCAGATATGTCTTGAATATATCCAGTGAGGAGACTCCACAACCTCTCTGGGCAACCTATTCCAGTGCTTGCTCACCTGCATAGTAAAGAAGTTCTTCCTCATTTTTAGCTTGAGCTTCCTGTGCATCAGTTTCTGCCCATTGTCTCTTGCCCTACTCTTTGACACCAATGAGAAGAGCCTGGCTTAATTTTCCTGACACCCCTCCTTCAGATACCTATAGACATTGATGAGGTCCCCTCTCAGTCATCTTTCTCCAGGCTGAACAGATGAAAAGTGACTGTACTGGATTTGTCTCGTTATGCTGTCCATAGTCCTTCAACATGATCTCAGTGCTAATGCTCTGAAACACTACCACAAATCCACATAAAACCATAAGAACACTATGTTTAGTGTGATAAGGATCCCTGCAGTTTAGCAGTCTGTGTCTCACAGTAATAGAAAGCTGCTGAGAAAGTATGGATAAAGCATATAAGGTACATTTTCTTCATAATATCTCTTAAACTCATTCACGCACCAATTACTCCATTATTTAGACATACCATATTTTAAATAAGTTGTTAGAAAATATTGTATAAACAAAGTAAATACATATCTTCTCTCGATATCTGTGAGGAAAACATTTTGCTTTGCTAAATCTTTGCTTAAATGCCTTCAATTTGTTGTTCTTGCACCAGTATAAACTTGCATCAATGACTCAGCTACATGTATATTGTCACTCCTTTGTGATGTGGAGCTTAGTTCCTAAAAGTTTTTCTTTACAGAGGAGTAAGTGGGGCAGTGTTGCAGTATATAAAAGAACGCAGAAGTTTTAATGTTGTTAAAGTGAACATGCCTCCAAAATGGTTTTGTAACTCCTTGTGTAAACTCACCGTTCTTCTTCTCAAGGTTCCTCAGTCTTATCTATACCATTAGAATGTCTAAGAGATACCTGAAAGTCTCCCTATTGGTTCTCAATCCTTTCTTGTAATTGATTGGTTTGTAAGACCTCCTGGACTCCTAATGGTTACATTGTGATCCCCCCAAAAGGTATTTAAGCAGTTACCAGAACAGTAAAGCTTTCTCTCTGCCTGCTCTCCCTGCTAGCTGTTGGTGTCCTGTGGTCTCTCTGGGGGCCATGGGGCTCCACGTGGGTAGGGGGAAGGGAGGGAGCACCACTCCTCCCTGGAGCAAGGGGTAAAAGGAAAAGCCTCTTGCCTGGGGTTTCCCCTCCCTATCCACCTTCAACGTTTGTCAGGGCAGCAGTGGGATTTAAGATGGCAGCACAGGTTTTTTCATTCAAAGACTGTGCAGACTCTCCACTTAAGAACATTAGCTTCAATCCCATTTTCCCTAAGATGACATTGTAAATTTCCCTAAGATGACTGAATGACAGGGGAAAAAAAGCAATTTTCTGGCTGCATCTCCAACTAAAATTTCAGTTCAAAAAGTGTAAATTATATTTGCAGACTGAGATCTTGATTTTTGTCTCAAGACAGAGCCAGATATTTTGTGAAGAGTGGTTGGTCTTTTTCCTCTACAATATTGTAATTAAATTCTAGAACAAGATCTTCCAGTATTAGTTTTATAAAGATTTTTAAAAATTTTCATAGCTGACCCATAAACTCTGAAAAATGGATCTTGTAATGGAAATGCTGACATAACATTAACCACAGCAGCAAGAACAGCACCACAGTAATTTATTTACACATTACTTTTCAATTCCTTTGCATGCTATTGTTATCATTTTTATGGCAAGTATTATTTTTCACCAAGTTTCTGATTTGTAATTTAATACTGCAGTCCTTACTGTTGGTTGGGGTCTTCTTACAAATTAATTACACTCTTCAAGGATATTGCTTAGGCCTAGAAAACTGACACAATTTGTTATTGTTTCTAAAGGGAAAACGTATTATCTTCCCTACAGTATGGGCTCAGTCCTGTTGTAGTTGTCTCTATAGTAATAAGTATAATAACAAAAATATAATGTTTTAATAGTTCTTGCAAATCATCAGCAGACATCTGTTCAAGTCAGGCAAGATTGCTGGTCTAATTCTCCTCTCAGTTCCAAAGATTTAATATTGGTACAACTCCAATTTCTGTGAATTTATTATATATTGTACCACTTAGAAGAGCTAAACTTATCTCTTTTCTAATAGAATGATCTAAATTCTGAAGGAATATATATAAACCGCCAAATTTAAGATTTATGGAGAAGGAGAAGACAAGGACTTTGTTCATAAGAGAATTATTGGAAGAATAATGACACTATCTTAGGTGTCTGTAAACTATCAAAGCAGAAGTACAAGGAGATACTTCAGGTCTTAATTCATGATCAAAATGATGACTGAACTGTCATCACAGAGACTGTGGGATATGCTGCACATCTGACAGAGACATAGAAGAATACAATTTGTTCAGGGAGACAAATAAGGAAAAAAAGGCAGGAAATGTGTTTTATATCAGAGGTGTAAATACTAGTTTAGATGCTACATGAGAACAGACTGATTGAAAACCTGTGACTAGTGTTAAAAGGAAAAAAGAAAAGAGAACTGCTGGGGATTACTCTAAGCCACCAAATACATACAGTGAATAAAGCCTCGGAGAGAAGTCTTTTTGTGACTAATAGAAGAATGAGTAAAGTGTTGTAACTAGTAATAAAGGGAATATTTAGCTATCAAGACGCCTGTTGGGAGCAGGGAAAAGGAAAATGGGTGGTTTTGGAAGATTTTGGAATTAGTTCAGAAGATGGTCTCTTCAGTTATTTAAAATTAGGACAGAGACATCAATTAGACAGGCAAGCTCTTCTGTATTGATTCTATTAATAAAGTGGCTGAAATGAAAGTGAGAGTGACAACATTATGATATGATCCTTAAAACATCGGATAGAGATCAGCAAAGTAAGAGCAAGGGACTCTAAGGAAAATCATTGTCATAATTTGTAAGG